ATCTCTCTCCTTTGCTGACCTGTGTCTCATACAAGTAGGGCAGATATATTGTGACCTCAGATTTTTCTTTGACCTTTACCAAGAATCATATACAGAAGATTTACATTGATTTGTCATTTGAGAAGATTTACACTAATCTTGGTAAATTGGAATTTGATCAAATTTGATGTGGATGGAATGACACATAGTTGTTATATTTTCAGTAGGAAGCAGAGCAAAGGGTCATCCCTTTCCTTGTGGTTGCTTGTCCCTGTTTCTTCTGTAGATATTTATTCTGCAAGGTCCATTGTGTTAAAAATTGCTGTAAGGTGTGTATGATCATAATTAAAAAAAAAAAAACAATATCTGAATAGTAAAATAGAAATTCTATATGAATTTTCCCAATTTTATAAGTTGTGGCAGATAGTTTTTTCATAAATCATTTGAAAGATCTGAGATGTGGTGCCATGTCAATTTCTTTGTGTATGTGTTTAGTTTAAAAAAATGGAAAAATAGTACTTAGGTCAAAGTTTGATTTACTTCGTAAAGAACTTAAATTTGGGCTTATTTGAGAGAACTATCGAGCCTCTTGCTTGTACATCAATTTGCAGAAATGAAAAATTACATGTATGTCTTGAGAAACATTGTTCATAAGATCACCATGCTTATTATTCCATGCTGCTTCTGTCTTTCTTCTGTTTGGCTTATAAATTGATATAGCATTTCCAATTCATTAAAATGATGCAGCTTAGTCAACCTTTATGATTTCATTTATTTCTGAAAACATTTGATATCTTTCTCCATTAACACATGGAGGACAGATCATAAAGAACAATGATGCCAAGGATTAAGGGGCTTATTAACTCATCAGTAGATGTAATAAGCCACCTTTATTATTATTTTTTTTGGGGGGGGGGATGCAATGGCATGTGCTGTGTTAGGGAGCAGGAGGGTCCTACTACACTTCATATTAAAAAAAAAAAAACACAACTTTAGCCAACCTTACAGAAGTACAAGTAATTAATAGAAAGTTAAATGTTTTTCATTCTTTTACTGATATTTTAATATAGATGGGCAAGATATAGTAATTTGCAATCCAGAAATCCATTTGGAACACATTTTGTTTATGATAGAAATGCATTTTCAATAGATATATATTCATTCTCACCCTTGAAAAAAATCCAAGGGGAATAAAGAATTAAAGAGGAAGCAGACACAACGTGTTAAGAAATTATGACAGTATCCTCCTGGTAGCCAACTGATATTGTGTAGCTGGCTAGTGGTCAGATATGACAGTGTCTCCTTGGTAACCAACTGATATTGTGCAGCAGGCTAGTGGTCAGATATGACAGTATCTTCCTGGTAGTCAACTGATATTGTGTAGCAGGTTAGTGGCCAGATAAGACGGTATCTTCCTGGTAGTCAACTGATATTGTGTAGAAGGCTGGTGGTCAGATATGACAGTATCCTCCTGGTAACCAACTGATATTGTGTAGCAGGCTAGTGGTCAGATATGACAGTATCCTCCTGGTAACCAACTGATATTGTGTAGTAGGCTAGTGGTCAGATATGACAGTATCCTCTTGGTAACCAACTGATATTGTGTAGTAGGCTAGTGGTCAGATATGACAGTATCCTCCTGGTAACCAACTGATATTGTGTAGCAGGCTAGTGGTCAGATATGACAGTATCCTCCTGGTAACCAACTGATATTGTGTAGCAGGCTAGTGGTCAGATATGACAGTATCCTTCTGGTAACCAACTGATATTGTGTAGCAGGCTAGTGGTCAGATATGACAGTATCCTTCTGGTAACCAACTGATATTGTGTAGCAGGCTAGTGGTCAGATATGACAGTATCCTCCTGGTAACCAACTGATATTGTGTAGTAGGCTAGTGGTCAGATATGACAGTATCCTCTTGGTAACCAACTGATATTGTGTAGTAGGCTAGTGGTCAGATATGACAGTATCCTCCTGGTAACCAACTGATATTGTGTAGCAGGCTAGTGGTCAGATATGACAGTATCCTTCTGGTAACTAACTGATATTGTGTAACAGGCAAGTGGTCAGATATGACAGTATCCTTCTGGTAACCAACTGATATTGTTTAGCAGGCTAGTGGTCAGATATGACAGTATTCTCTTGGTAGTCAATTGATATTGTGTAGCAGGCTAGTGGTCAGATATGACAGTATTCTCTTGGTAGTCAACTGATATTGTGTAGCAGGCTAGTGGTCAGATATTACAATATCCCCCCACTGTAGCCACAGTGATTTGCTTTTTGAAACTGGATTTATATTGACTGTTGACTTTAAAATCAGATAAAAAGGATGAAAGTTGTGTTCTTTTTTCAAGCTTCTATTTTTCTCATTATCATCTTTCAAGACTAGTTTTTCTTTTTCATCTAACTGATTATAAAAAGGGAGAGCATCAATGAGAAATATAAATATAATAAAAAAAATTATGTAGTGCAGACTGAATTATTAGTCTCATACTAAGTAGAAAATGTTTATTTAATTCTGTTTTAAATAATACCTCATTTTTTATATGCATACTAAATTTTGAAAAGATGGGGATTTGCTGAATTTGGTATGTGGCTAAAGGAGAACGGAGATCATTCTATTCCCAAGTAAGTGAAGCAGGCCTATTGGTGGCTCCCTATATATAACCATACTTAAAGAATAGAGGATTATTGATAAATTGTCACTTCTCCCATTTTTATACATCCATCAAAGTTATTGTATGTAGAGCATAGACAATACTGCTGTTGTGCACAGTGTGATCAATAGGCTTCCGGCTGGACAATATCGATGTCACTGGCGGTGCAGGCTTCATATATTGGGACATGCACTGGCAATTTTCACATTAGCACCACTACCGTATGGACCAGGTTGCCATGGAAATCTAGGTGGAAATGAGCCTTTGCTATTAGGGGCCGAGGTGTTTGATTGTTTTATTAGATAGAAGGTGACTGGAGCAAGCAGGCCGGGTCCACAGGTAAATTGGCCAGGAAAAGTGTCTTGGAAGGATTTCATAGAAATAAGTTTATCACCACATGTTTAGATTTATGATTGAACTGATTAAGGATTATTGAATTTTCTTAACCAGGCTAGGTGAAATATTTTAACCCCACTGATCATGTTCATTATTGCAAGACCAGTGATGTGAGTTGTTTGAAGAAATCCAGTCCAGGAAAAGAGGTCTATTCCCCAGAGTATGGGTTAAAAAGCTTCTACTTTGATATGAGCACTGATGGCTTCTCTGATGGCAGTAGCCAGTGTTGTAGGATTGTTCACAACCTGTTTTGAAATATGTGAAAAGTGCATTTGTGGTTCTCTGTGGGTGTAGTGTTTATACATGCATTGTGAAAAATCAGCAAAGATTATTTTTTAAATTTTCAGTATATTTTGTGGTATTTACAGGTATTCTGGTGAGTTGTAATAGTCTTGTTTTATCAGTCAAGCCATATTTCTGTTTTTTTTTTAAACATAAAACTTAATTAAAATTAAGATTTGCTATACTAAAGGAGTTGATTGGTTAAATTGAATACAGACCAGTTTTTAAAGGATGTACAGCTGAGAGAAAAAATATTATTAACTTTTACTGGTATAAAGATTAATCTTCCTGAAAATATCAGTAATTTCGGCTTCTATTTGTGTTGGAGAATATGCTTGCAATTAGAGCCTAGATGCATCATCTAGCCCTTCACTTGTCCAATAAACTTGAAGTGGTGTGGAAGGTGATACCAGTGTTCAGTTTCTATCATGCTTATACCAACATGCATCTCTGCACCTGTGGTATTGTTTAATTGGTCCTCAGGATGTCGAAATGTCACAGAAGTAACAGGATATACAACTTTTGATCAGACAATCGTCTCATTTGAAGCATGTGGTCTTTGCTCACTCACAGTAAGGACATTTATTTATTTATTTTTATTTGTTTATTGAAACAATTTAATTTTTTAAAGGTGTTAATTCATATGGAAGGAAGTTCAGCTAAAAGTTAATATGTGAAGGCTAATAACTGGGGTGTGATTTCATTATATATATATATATATATATATATATATATATATATATATATATATATATATATATATATATATATATATATATATATATATATATAGTAGGGTGGACTATCTCCATAAAATGGCAACCAGCAGGGTACCAGCATCATAGCACTTGCAATAAGCAGTTTTTTTTTTTTGATATGTTATGTCAACAGTAAAATAAAACCTAATATGTATGAGGAAGGGGAATGTGGACTCACTTTATTGAGGGAAGGTGTCTAAGTAGATTAATTATTTTAGCCATACATATTTTTGAGCTATTGCCCATGAATAACTTAGTATGGTCATCATTTGGAGGAGACAGAAATGAGTTTTTATTCATGGCAACATGGTTTTAATCTTTTAAAAAAGTGCTGAGAGAAGGTGCACACAAGAAGAGTCGTCTTGCATGTGCTGTGAGTTGAGATAATTGAATTATGTCATGGATCACAGCTGCCTTCTTTGACAACAACCTGTAGAGCAGCTACATGATCACTGCAGTGAGGGAAGAACTGGATTTGAAGGCAGTCCTTGACTGAGTTTCTCATGTCTTGGATCGCTCCTTGCCAAATAACTATGTTATCACTACACTCCAGAATAACTCAGTGATGCATTTGCTAGAAATTTTATGCACTAGTTATAACACTGGTATTATGTTTGTGATACTGTATATAAAGCATCAAGCAATTGATACCTATTTTGTTCAGATGCACTGAAGAGAGAGGCTGGATTTTGGTCTGTCTAACTCTATTTCTCCACAAACTCTGATGATTGACACTTTGAGACAATTTTTAAAAAGTGTCCTTAAACCTGACACAAACTGAGTCCATTTGTAAACAGTGTTCCTGACATCTGGCAGACACAGGAAGCTACCACACTAACTGGAAACATTGACTACCACTTCTGTGCACTTTTCATTTGTTATCTAAATATCATTTAATAGGTAACTTCTTATATTTTCCCTCTTCAGATTCCATGCCCAGGTCTGATGCAGCTGTTTAAAGTATTATAAAAACCCTGTCAGGACGTTGTAACCAGCAGCCATGCCAGGAGTGGGGTTCATCCGTGTTAAGCTACTTCAGGTGGAGAAGGGGCCAGGAGAGGAGGACAGAGATTTTTATGACCCCTTCGTTGCTGTCAATGTCAAGGAATCGGTCCAAACACCAGGTGTGTGCTTATTATTATATATATGTATATATATGTTGTGCCTTTGAACAAACCACTTTTAGTGTAGTCTTTTGGTTAATTCATCTGTTGTTGGATCTCAGATCCAAGTTACCCGAAATAAACATAATAGAACTTAATTTGATTTTTAATTGTGATTGACGGGGACAAAATGTTGTTTTGCTTTAAAACCATGTTGAATTATAGACCCTCCTTTTTTATAGCCTAAGAAGGAAAACTGATAGAGAAATTACACAGTGCCTATGATTCCATTTCTTGGTCCTTTTTATTGATGTCCAGCATTACAACTATATAACAGTCAAATTAACTTTAGAGCATTTTTTTTAGCTAAAACCTTTCCAATAATGTTCTCAGTAGAATTCAATTTTTTGTCTTCAACATGGACACTTGTGTTTTTTGTTATGTGCCATTTATGACAATCAATAAACCATAAAGCAGCAAATGAAGAGAAATGGCCAAGTTTCTCTCCCTTGAGATGTATGAAACTTTATGATTTCTTGTTTGCCTTCTATGTGTTGCAATTTATTGGCATTTTTTAACGACTAATTCATTAAAATGGGTGCTCTCGTCATGGCTATTATGAAGGGAAAGCCACTGGATCAATAAGTTGTTCTTAAATAACACGTTCCTGATCTGACTGGAACCCTGGGAATGTGGGATGAACATTGGAGGATTCAAATTTGAAGCTTCTGGAAACATATTGCTACCTGAGGGAACATTGAAGTAAAGATGCTTTCCAATACAAGGAAAACCAAGAAAACTAGGTGGTTTGCATCTTAACTTTTAAAAAGATGTGCCATATTATTTAAAATAATGCAATGATATAATAATAATATATATATACTAGTAATAATAAGTGTGGGAATGAAATAATTTTCATGTGGATGCTTGCATGGTACCCTGGGAGTTCATCGTTCCTTGTTTGTCTGACATCAGAAGAAGCATGCGTGCATATAAGACTGGTGCAGTGTCATGCAGTGCGTCATGTACTTCAGGTCACATATTTGTGAAACTTGCTATACATAAATATAGTATTAACTAGTCTAAACCAGAGTTGCAATATGATGAAAAACTGGTCATGGTTTCAAATCAAAATTCTGCTCATAATGTTCATTTAGTAAGGAGAATAATTAAATGTTGTGGTTATTTATAATTTTTACCAATGTTTTTTTTTATTTCTTTATTTTTTTACCATCAGGTAGGGAAGTGTCATATGTACAAAAGAAGAAAACAGTGTACCCAGAATGGAACACATGTTTTGATGCACACTTGTATGATGGCAGAATGATACAGTTTATGATAATGGAAAAACAAGACACTGAAACTAAACAGGTGGCAGAATTAAGCATATTGGCCAAAAAATTATTGCCTCCAAGGGGCGAAAGCATAACTGATAAATCGGTAAGTGGGGTTCACCACCCGTGCTTGGATGTTTATGATATTTTATAGTTGTTTGCTAAAATATGGTGCTGGTTTTTCTCTTACAGGACGTCCAGTTCAGTATGTGCAGAAGAAAAAAAGTATATACCCAGAATGGAACACTTGTTTTGATGCCCATCTATATGAAGGGCGAATGATTGAGTTTGCTGTTATGGAGAGGGGGGCGAGTGACAATCCAAGCTCGTCCAAAGTTTTTGCTCAGGCTCAGCTCTCTGCACAATCCTTAGCTGACATGTGTCGAGACAATGCAGAGAAGATCTGCAGCACTGTGGTAAGTGGTGACAAGTGTGGACAGCTGTCTGTCTGTCACCTTTCCACTACTTCTACTGCAACTGAGAACCCCTGTCTTCGAGTGACCTGGCTGTTTGTAAATGTACAACTCACTAGCATTCTGTGTGACTTGGTATTTGCTTATTAACTCTTTCTTTTTCACTGAGCTGTTGCAGTCTCATATGTAAACTTGTTGTGTGGAAGATATTACATCATTCAGAAAAACACTTGAGATTCAGGAGTAATTCACATTATAAGAAAAAGAAAACAAGATGATGCAGTTTTTTTTTTTTTTTTTTTTTTTTTTTTTTTTTTGTAAAATACTTTGAATAGTTGTGAGACTGTCCAAACTCACATTTTAGTCAAATATTCAGACACATGATATATTGCTTTGCTAAGCAAAGGAGGCAGTTCAATTTGTGTTGCCAGTTTTGAGGCATTTGTTCATAATCTCCCTCAGAAGATTTTTGAAAATTGAATCTTGTAATGACACAAAATGCAAGGGCACTTCAAACTCTAGCATTATTTTGACCCAATGAAATTATTCAGGAGCTCTTCAGAGATGCCTCTCTGTCTCATGAGGAATCAAAAATAGAAGGCTCTTAGCTTTCTGTATCAAAATTGGCAACAAAATGTCCTGTACTGGAAGCCTTCATCCTCCATTGTGTTTATTAAAAGTGAAACATCATAACTCATATTTGACATTGCTGGGCATGTTGCCGATTAAAAACACTGAAAATATCATTGTTTTTTTGGAAAAAAAAGGGGAGAACTAGAATTTTATTGTGTGTGAAATGTTTTCTGTGAAACTTCTTGGGAGGCCCTCCACATTCTCAGCTGCAACATTCTCGAATTTTCTCCACAAAACTCCAATGACCAACTCAAAGATATTTAGTTACTGTCCTCTGAATCAAAATCTACTCCATCACAGGCATCTTCAACATATGAGATTGGAGGAGTTCAGTCATTTAGGTGAGACCTGTCTGTAGCACCACCTTGAGTAGCACTTGACTGCTAGGTGATTAATGTATTCAAACAGCTATATATCTTTTAGCCACCAGTGATCAGCTGCAGACCTCACTGCCTCAGTGAGTGTCAATCTGCACTTATTTTTGCCGCTAGTCCTCAGATTCAGGGTTGCCAATATCACAGTTATCAAAATGACTTTATAGATGAAACATTTAATAAAATGTAAAATTTAGTAAAATGTTTAATTCAAAATGACTTTAACGAACCACTGGAAAAAAACTAATAGTTGGAGGAAAAAGAATATACATAAATGTGTGTTAGCAACTCTGGTGATTGATTTTCATTCTTCAGAATGTGTGTTTTCATGCTATTTAAGTTCATCATTTTGCTGTGTTGTTCATATAGCTATATGTTCAAGAAACCAGTAGACAAAACAAACTTAAGAATGTTTGACTATTTGTCTTAATAGTTATATAAAATGCCCAGGTTGTCTCCCAGAGAGCATGCTGCAGGATGAAAGACAGTGACCAGTGTGTGAGGAGGACAGTGCCCAGTGTGTGAGGACAGTGTCCAGTGTGTGAGGAGGACAGTGTCCAGTATGCGAGGAGGACAGTGTCCAGTGTGTGAGGAGGACAGCATCCAGTGTGTGAGGAGGACAGTGACCAGTGTGTGAGGAAGATTGTGTCCAGTGTGTGTGGAGCACTAAAAGTTTCCAGCATGCTCTCTGAGTGGATTTTATTCATAATTACTGTTACTTTCATTATCCCTATGCTTTTGTGACAAATGTCATGTTAACCCCTCTGTTAATTTGTACATTCATTTGATATTCCACTATCTCCTCCTTCACCATTAGAGAGAGGAACTGAAAACTTTGGGAAGTGATAGACCTGGGCGTGATCTACCCGATTTGACAAGTGTTGCTGAGTGCTGGGATATGAATGGCTAGCCATTGACATCTAGTTGTATTACTGTACTTTCTACATTTCAGCTTTGTTAACTTTTTTTATAATAATGTCACTTGCATATGTGATTAACTCAGGAACACAAAACAAATGAGATTCCATGGCATGCTGGCTGTGTTGATAAATGTTACCCATGCACACCTTGCATGTTAATGTGGTCAGCTGTTTTGACAGCCTTTTGTGTTGCTTTGTATCATTTTACCAGACAGCTGGTTCAATACTCTTTTGTTTTGTTTTGTTTTGTTTTGATTAACTAAGATGTCTGTTGCTTTGAATCATGTTTTATGCAACTGTGGCATGCATATGTTCAGGATTGCAGACAACTGATGCATTGAAAGCAACTGTTTACATAATTGATTTACGTCATCACATCACATGTCATTTCCATTAATACTTTGTATCCATATGTTTATGTTCAGTTATGAATTTTTCAACAAATAAGATCCTGTAAGTGATATGTGCCAATTCAGTGGAAAAATTTGGAGAAAATTACTGAAGTGGATACACTAGGTCTGGGCCTAAACCATTACAGTTTTGTTGATTTGCTTTCCATACTGTTTCTTAGACCCCATTCCCATAGATTTTAGATCGATCTATCCCTGTAGGGAGTCTCACTAGATTACTGTCAGCTTAGCCGGCTTAAGCGTCTGTCCCGCCTACTAAAAGCTGTAAGGGGGTAATTAACTATGGTGCGCGCTCGGCTGACTGCAATTTAGCGTGAACCCCCAGGTAGTTAGGTCGATCTAAATCTCTGGATCGATCTAAATCTCTGGGAATGCACCCTAAGATACTATAGGCATGGAGGGGGGATAGTAGACACATTCAGTGCCATTACATGTCATTCAGGTGAAAATGTGTAATTTACAATAGCATAGCAGGGGACAGTCTATTCTCTTCAGCTTGTCTGAAGCATTTATAATATTTAAACCAATGACTTTGAATTTATCTAATATCATTGATTGAACTGATGTCTCCCCCCCCCCTCCCCCCCATTTTCCCCCATTTTCAACAGCTCCCAGACTGCAATATTTAAACATGGAATATATATTGGAAATTTCAGCTTGACCTTACTCCAAGTGGAACACTTTTAGTCCAAATCAGACATTTCTCAGAAAAAGAAGGTAAGAATGTAGTTTTTATTTATTTTTCTGGTTTTCCTGTTTGTCTGAAACCTTTTGTTATTCCCAAAAAATGATATTTGAATGGATTTTTTTTTTCATGCTATATTTGCATTCCTTTTTGCCACCTTTAATGTTAACAATTATACTTATTGCATATGCAACAGTAATACGTGTATGTTATACAATAAAACATCAGCTGGTGGGCTTTTACAAAATGAAGGAAAGATAAGTAGGTCATGTTTATTACCAAAAATTTGAAGAAGATGCAGTTTTAAAACTTTTTTATTTGCTTACCATATAAAAATTTGTTTTATCCTTTGGCATGTCAACTTTGTTTGCATTGCTTGAGATTCTGGTAGTTATGTATATGTGGTACAGGGAATATACACTTGCTTTGTACATATATCAAAGAAAAGCATCTCTCAGCTTATTACAGTAACATATGATAATGTTTGATTTTAGAGCAACTCCCAGACGGTGACAATGAGAAGACACAGACAGGCGGAATCACCCGTCGTCGTGGCGCCATCAAACAGGCCAAAGTTCATGAAGTCAGAGGGCACAAATTCATCGCAAAGTTTTTCAATCAACCAGTATTCTGTTCATTCTGTGGAGAATTCCTCTGGTAAGATATAATGTAATATAATACCTCTGGACAAAATTGAACAATTAAATTATTATTTACAAGTATAAAGCTTTGAATGTAAGGTTTCACAAAAAGAGTCCAGGGAAGTTGATACAGGAAATATCAATACATGAGCTACCTCCAGTGCATGGACTTATTTTCCTTATAGATCAGTTTAAGGAACTTTCATGCAAAGCCTCAATACAATGTTTATTGCATTTTGATGTTATTATTTATATGATTATGAACCAGACAGTTCCTGAAGAGTAACAGCTGAAAGCCTTCAATAAAATTGCATCTCATCAGTTTAATTAAGACAAAACAGACTCATTTATTGAATACCACATAAACTTTTCTATTATAACAGATATTTTGGTCCAATTTGAGCTGAGTATCTATGAAATTTTTACGTTGGGTTATGATTTTTTTTCCATGAATTTTTAAAAAACTTGTTTAACAATATCTGTGTATCAATATTGTAGTTACTTTTTCAGAATGTTCATGTTTAACAACAGTGAAACAATTAGAGATTGATAGTAATAATATTATTAAGCTTTATGTACATGTAGCTGTGTAGGGGTACATGAAATTTAACAAAAACATGCATTTTCAATGTTTCAATGATTGTTCATCAATTTAGACCATTTAATGACACTTGTCAGCATTTATCAGTTATTATGTGTCTGTCAACTCGACAGCATTGTTGTCTTGACTACCATCTTTACACCGACAATGCAAAAAACCTTTTTCTTTGAAATATGCATTCTATCATATTTATCCTTTTCTCATTTTTAGAATAATTTACCACACCAAGTACTTCTTGTAATTTCTCACTGAAATAGCAATTACTTTGTGCTTAAACTTTAAAGGGATTAATTTAGAATTTATATCCAAGAGAAGAGAAGTTCTTAGGAAAGTAATTGTGATTGTAGTGTAGGCCGTCACAACTTTACTGAGAAATGTTTTAAAAAGAGTACTTGAATGTTCTTTTGGGATAAATCTTTCACATAATCAGTTCTTGAAAGTCTAGAAACTGTAGAAAGGTTACAGCAGTAATCCAATACTGTTTGCAAGATTGTGGCAAATACTGCAGAACAGTATGTTATTCTTAGAGGTAGTTTCTGAAAATGATATTCCGGTTGGATTGTCTTTAACAATAATGTGGCTTCCTAAGTACTAAGAAATGTCAAGACGAGGCACTACAGGTTTCAAAAATATTTCAGAAATATCAATGATCTGAGGAAAGTGTCATATAAATCTATGGTTTTGTCTATTTGAAATCAGAATATAATTATGGTGCATTGTCTATTTTCAGGGGTCTAAACAAGCAAGGTTACCAGTGTAAAGGTAAGAGATGTTTTCTTATTCTTAAACATATTCGTGGAATATATGTTTAAGTGAAATCATTGCTTTGCACCCAACGGTTAGATAAGCAGCTAGAAAAAATATTGAAGCCATTAAGTGAAATGTTGAACTTAGAATTGTGGCCTTGTGTTCAACTTTGTTTGATCTATAGACAACAAAGGTTTTTAAAAATTTCTATTCATGTTCATTTTGATATCAAACAAAATATTTTGCATTTTAAAACTGTAATGTCAGTATTCAGAACCTAAGGCCACATTCAGAACAATGGTCTAACTTGGAAATATGGGCGGCCCACTTGAATACTTCCCCACGGGGAATCTATTCGGTGTCGTTTTTTTTTTAAGTAAATAGGTAAATAGTCTTACTCATTGTGATTGTTTAATAGAATATTCACAAAAATTGTATTCATATTGTCATTTTCATCCACACAAGTGGATGCATATGTTACAGTGAAATAAACTTAAACTCTATTAGCGGATTATATGGCAAGCCTTTTAGTGGGTCACCATATTTGACCCTCAGACTAGTTAGTCCACTGTTCTGAGTGTTCTGAGTGTTCTGGCCTGATATAGAACCCCACAAACAGATTTAGTTGTTGCTTTTATACTACTTCAACAAATAGTTAACTGCTTTAAAAACTGAAATGTTTCCATAATACTTAACATTAAGTGAAATTTTAGTGCAACATACAGCATTTTCACTTGGAAACAAAAACAGTGCCCACACAACTGCAGAACCTTTTTTTCCATAAGCATGATTGATCAAGATTTGATTGACAGTTTCAGCTATTTTTAATTTACGCTCAGTGCATCAGTTGACACTGAAAATTAACTTACTCCTATCTCAGTTTGCATCATCACAGGATGACTGAAAATCCATATCTTAAGAAAAATATTAAGGGTATTGGTGTTGAGGAATAAATAAGATGAAAATTGATAAATTGATAGATATGACATTAACTTTACTAGTCACCTAAAAGATGTTGTTTCTTATTCTTACATCTGTGTCTTAATATCTTGTCTGGAAAAGCATGGCCCAATGTCTGACTTATTGAAATTAATTTTAAGGTAGCATTTTTTTTAGCTCTGACTGTCTCCTTAAAGCTGTTAATAAACTGATTATTTTTTGTCTTATTAGTATTTCTTTTCTTCCTTTGCCTTCATTTCATTTTAGTACCATGAATTTGGAATTTTTCTGTGAGTTAACATTTGTTGTTCTTAATTTCCGGTACAGTTTTCCTACATTTGTCTAACTCGGACCGAAATAGCTTCACTACTGTCTTTCCCATTTTGCAAGAATTCAATTATTGCCCAGGAAAATAGATTTCTGTAGCCCAGTATGCTGTCTCTGAAAGGCAGACACAATGGTTATCAAATCTACATCTATAAACCTCTACTGTCATATCAACTATAAAAGTTTTAGGTACATGTATATTCCCAAGGTATGTTCCAAGAAGCAGTTAGATTCCTCCTGCACACAAATCACTCTACTTTTTTATTTCAGTAGGTGCTCTTTAGCCTTCTCACTATTAAAATGGAAATTATGTAACTAGTGCCACATATTAAAATGAAATTGATTAATACATACTGTAAAACTTCATGGCAACTTGATGATCGTACAATGTCAAGGACTTACAAATAGATATGAGGGCATCTGGGGTCACAGGATGAAAATTGTTTTAGTCAAAAGGCTCAATTATATTACTAAATCTAATTTTTGAGTCAAATCAGTGATAAATGTGGCAAAAATATCTCAATTGATTATATATATTAAGAATCAAAATATGTCAGTTTTGATTAAAATTTTTTCGTGTCTTTATTATTTCAGAATGCAACTGTACTGTTCACAAGAAATGCCATGAACATGTTCTTTGCAAGTGCCCTGGCAATGCCAAGGAAAGCAGAGAGACCAAGGTAAGTTGGATGCAGAAATCGTAATCTTTCATTTGAATGTACCTTGCAATGAATTAGAATAAGCCCATTTCTTTATATCTGGAATTTTCCTAGAGGAATATTTCCTTCCTATTTTGAAAAGAAATGTTGATGGCTTTTATATGAAATTTTCAGAAAGTGTATGGGATGAGGAAATTCTGTTTTAAATATTATGATATCCCAGGTGTTTTTTGTTGAAATTGGACCATTTATGCAAGAGGCAGATAAGGGCACTTGGAAAAAAGCTAAGTGATACCTGTAGCTAGTATCTTTACAAATGGACTTAAATAGACACCTGCAGTTATGATTGCTATACAGTAGGAAAGGCATGAACATTTACATGTAAATGCACCTTCATGCAGCATTCCCCCACACTAAGACACTAAATCCATGTCTGTGAATCCAACAGACTTGAAAGCATAGATTTTTGTTTTAAAGTGAGATACAAGTGGTTACTTTTCATGTAGGTTCCCCATGGAAAGAATGCCATACATCATGCCTCTTTTCTTTGCTTCATACAAGCTAAATCTTAATCGTGATATACCAAAACAATAACAAGATTGATCACTACGCATCTATATTCCACTGAAAAAAAATCTGTCTATGCAAATCTGTATTCTGTTGAAGAAAGCGCTTGGTCTTTGGCAATTGATTGATTTATTAGGAAGACAATTGATTGTGTTATCACTAGTCAAGCAATCAGACAGGCTGGAGAGGCTTGGTTACAGCCTACAGGGACTGATTTAAGTGGAATCCTATGCCTTAGGATGCACTTAATTGAGTGCCTGCAAAGCATGGGCAGGAATGTAGAACCTTTTCAAATAATGATGTGTAAGTTGGATGCCAATTTGCTTGAACTTAGAATTCACTGAGTGGATGTGCATCCACAAATTATATGGATAGATGTTCATTTTTAAACTGAAATTGGTGCATTGAATTGTAAAAAGATTTAGAAAAATGAAATACTAATGGTATTAAGTGCAACTATCGAATAAATAAACATTTTTTTGGAATAGTGGATCTTCTAAATACTGGACTCTTGGAACAGCAGAACAGGGGTTGATTTCTGATCAAGGCTCCATTAGTCTTCGAAATTGCATACTCTTGGAACAACAGACCCCTGGAATATAGGGATGCTCCCATTTAGATACCAACTGACACTCTCTGAGTTCTGAATGATATGGGGGCAGTACACTGGATTTAAGAGTGAAGAAATTAGTTAAGTGAAGACCAGACTAGAACAGATATTCACAAGTTTCTACTCATTGCTCTTTATTTTGATCCTATCAAGCCCACAATGATTTACATTTACATCTTTTTTTCTTGCCTTGAACAACAAGTGGACCATAAATAAAGTTTTATACATGTATTTATTACTGCACTTGCAATTTAGTCTATTTTGTGAGTTGTAAGTCCATGCAGGAAAAAATGTTCAAAACTTCATTTATGTAAAATATGACAAGATGACTTAATCTAGCATAGTAATAAATGAGTCACATTTATTTTACTTATAGTTAACAGTGCAGTTTTTGAACATGAATAGTAATAAAGGAACATTACAGAACATTTTAAAAAGTATAACATGGCTTTGAGATCTCAAAATTTGCATGTTTTAGAAAGAAAAATGGCATTTAAGTTTTCAGCTGTAATTTTGCAACATTTTAACTAAAATAGTGCCATATCTGGATGAGATCCTAGAATATATCATTGATTGAAATCAATCCCCCACAGCAGAACCCCACCTATTTTCTGGCAGCTTAGTGAGTGGCTATCTGGTTGATTTACGGATTATTTCAGTCCCTCAGGCTGACCCAGACATTTCAGTGGCTAGCTTATAGTATTGAACTGTCTGCTTCCTGTAGGCACTGCCACAAAACATGCCAAGACAATATACTTCCACCAACACAAATTGTAAAGATAGGATTCACAGATTTTAAATTTACTAGATTTATTAGTAGTTACTTATTTCCCTGATGAAATTTCTATCCTGAAATTTCATCATTATCTTCGAGGAACCTTTTTAGATATCTTGTTAGCAAACAAACCAATGTTGAAGAAAACAAAACCTCCATGGCTTGCAGAGGTAATAAAAATGTAAATGTACCTTAAACTCTCCAGTGGAAAATTCAATCTTAAGATGTCTAAAAACAATAAGGAAGAAACAACTGAAATGGCTTGTTCCAAAAACATATGAGCAAAATGTTCTATTAATGCAAGTCCTTTTATGAAATTATGTCCCACCAATTAGGTTTAGGAATCACTAGTAATCTTTCCTTTATTACAATATTTATATACCTTCCTAGGGATAGTTGCAGTTAATATGCCTAACCAGCTTTGGTTATTAGTATCTGGAGACTTCATTTTATCATCATGTGCTTCAAATGGTCTTCTCCTTTGGTGCTCATAGAAAACATTTAGGATAACCTGCCCACATAATTGATTGTAAAGATGTTTTGATAGACGATTAACAGCCATTTTTCCCTGAATATTTGGAAGTATTTTTATTAATTTTGTGTGATGCTGGTGTGTGAGTTACAATTAATGGTTATGCCCAAAGTAATCAATTTGGTATGCAAGTTGTTTTTGATAAGAATGGAAGTTTCTGTGCTACAGAGCTGAGGACAGTCTCATTTCTGCCTCTGCTGCTGGCACCACCATTATAACTATTACTGACCACTCTGTGACACTTGAGGTTGTGAATAAAGTGCATCAAGGCATTTCAACAGACATTCTCTGAGAAACATGTAATTAGTTTCCCACTTTTGCCCCAACCATGATTATTTGAAATGGAAGTTGTCTGAATAATGGCAGCATATATTCCAGTGGCAGTTTCATTGAATGTAAATGACAGAATTCTAATTAAGGAATGGCCAAAACAACCACTTCCTTGATGGTTGATCTGAAATAAAGCCAGGCATATTATACATGTAGGTGTGCTGTAAGGCCCAGCTTCCATTTCTCAATTACTGGGAAGGCTTCTGGTCACAAAAAAATGGCAGATGCAGCCTCCACAAAAAAGAATATGCTGATATGAGACCACACATACAGAGAGGCTCATAAAAGAATCTTTGATGTAATCTTTACTGCCATATAATTTTTATCCTAGATTTGTCAGTGTGTGCCCTAGGAAAAATTTCTGTAAGTTATCAGGAGATGTTTTTTATTATTATTGATACAGTAGTTGTAGGATGGGATGACATGCAGGCAGTGCACTGAGGATAATTATGTTTGCAGTGTCTGAGTCAAGCCTACAATGTACCTAGCTATTTGATGAGAATAATCTATCTTTATAAGCAACCACTCTCAGACACTGATGAATTAAAGCATCAAACAGCAAGTTGCTCGCAATGGCCATATGCAGTAAGAGCCAATTTGCAAAATGTGTTTTGGTGGTCATTTTGCAACACGTCATCAAAGCTTAAAACAATGCACAGTTGGGTTCAACAAAGCAATTATTGGTTTCACTAAAAAAACTACATTTTTACTACAATACTAAATTCCAATGAGTATGCTTATCTATCTTCAAGACATCTGCATAAGCTAAGCAGGTAATCAACATTTTCGTAATTAATGATCCTAGAGTGCATTTCTCTACGAGAATGCATTAACCAATCAGCTGTGTGCCTGGCACACTTTAGTGTCAGGTGTGATTTTTTTTTTTTTTTTTTTTGTTTTAAACATCTTTATTCTCAAGAGAGTTAAATATTGTTGCAGTATAATTGAAGGTGGCAATTCGCCTAGGCATTACATGCTCACCAGGTGTGACTTAGTTTCCAGCAGTATACAAATATGAATTTCAAATCTTTTTAAATGCAGATAGTATACCTTTAAATATGCAACATATCAGAAGCAACCTTGTGGTAGGATTGTCTGAAAAATATGGTTGCTCACTGGAGGCAGCCTCCTGATTGGTTGTGTCAAACCAAGGTCAAATTTTAGTTTACATGGGTGCCACTAGTTTCTCGTTTTAATCCAGGATCAGGAATACCAGACTATAATGTGTATACAGCCAAGGGTGAATGGAGAAGATGCCATACCACTGGCCCTGATAAGTGCCCTAAGTATGTCTTTCAAACAAATATATTTAATGTGTTTTGAGGTTGTAGCTTTATGGCATGTCATCAAAACATCACAGCTTACTGCCTGGAAGGTGCCTGATTAGAAAAATCAATTTTAATATCAAAATGGAGAAGGATTGAAGGAAAGCCCAGAACATTAATATCACATTAATGTACTTTTTGTATGTTCATTCAGATCAAATTCCAATGAATATTTGGAAAACTGGCCTTTTGTATTAAATTTTCTCTAGCAAAGTTGTTGAATCCCTTGAAAGATAACTAAGGTATATACAGCTTTTTTATGAAGCATAACAAATGGCAAAAAGATTGTTCCATGCTCAAACTGATATATAGCAGTATAGAAATAATACAGTAAAGTTGCTGGATATGGCCTTTAAACTAGAATCCTAGGTTAAGATGAGGACTACCTCCCTTTCCTTCCCATTTTGCCATCAATTTACTGTAGTTCATCTTCTTCCAGCTAGGCTGATGACTCCAATACAGGAATGCTGCCTGCATGCCAGCTATCAATAAGGCATCCATTATTCAGCTTAATTAACTTCACAGTGTTATCAGTGGTCTGGGCTGACAGCATGGGAAATGACAGGATTAAGAAAACACATTCAAACCTGAACTGAGTTTTAATTATTTCATTGAACCATTAAAAGAGTTTTTGTAATCTGTTGTTGGTTGGATAAAAGGTTTTCGAATATTGACCAGAATAGGAATGTACAGGAGAAAGTCAAATATAGTCTCATTGGGTACTTTTCTGTACAGAAACACTAATGGCATTTTATATGAATTAACAACATACTTGACTTGATGATTAGCTTTTATGTGCACATTCACTCAGGAGTCCTCACCATGCAGGAAAAGACTTACCGGTAGTTGACAGTTACCACTTTTATGTCTTACAGAAGATGGTTGTTTTGTGAAGAGCTGGTTGTGACAATTATTAGGTTAGTAGTGACTGACTCAACAAGTACATTCATGCATGGTCAGCACTACTGAAGTAAGCATATTGTGTTAGTAGTGACAGGCTCAACAAGCACAATCTTGATCAGTACTACTGAAGTCAGTATTTCATTACAGGATTGGTCTAGATCATTTGTTTGGTGATAGTAAGGCACTGCATTTCTGTTATCCTTTTCTGTTAATTGTGAAAAACTAGTGGCATGGATGATGAACAACATTACATGGCAAGATGATGTGGAAAAAGCTCAGAGGTCCCATTTCCATAGACATTGTCGGTCTATGTGGATCCACTCATCTCTGCAGGGACTTTCACTAAGTACAATCAGCTTAACTGAACGACATACCTCCTCTTCTTTCCAATCTACTTGTATAATCAACCAGGTTTTCTTTATACTACCTAATTCTAGGAGGAGGCTTGGCATTAAGTTAAGCTGATTGCAGTCAGCAAGAGTCTCCACAGAGTATGTTCAATCCACGTAAACTGATGGTGTCTATGGGAATGGGGCGGTAGACATGCTTATGAAAGATCTAAGACAAAATTCATTCATTGTCAAAAAAGAAGAGGAATTTTGTGTCCCATAACAAAGCAGACATATCATAGATTTAGTTCAGTGAGACCAGGTTGTTGTTTTTTCCCCTTGCTTTTCACTGATAAGACGGGGTGTTGGGATGCGGCCCAGCCCACCTCAGTTTTGGGGAGAGGGGGCTAATCATTTCACAGCCCTTCTTTATGGACCTGCTGAAATAGTTCATGATATTACATTTCAGTCACACCATTAACTTCACATGGTTTCTTGTTCATGAGTTTCCATTTCAGGTGGTTGTATTTCTCATTGCCATTATTAAATTTTTCATCATCATTTTTTTTTCATTGTTGTTCCAGATGCTGACTGAGCGTTTTAACATCAATGTTCCCCATAGGTTCAAAGTTCACAACTACATGTCTCCCACCTTCTGTGATCACTGTGGCTCACTGTTGGTGGGGCTCTTCAGGCAGGGACTCAAATGTGAAAGTAAGTCGACAGAAAGGGTAAATGTGGTCAATGGAAAAAGGAAAGTATTTAAATCTGAAAATGAAAGTAAGTCAAAAGAAAAATGAAAATAAGTCATTATAAAATGAAACTGTGTACTTGTATAACTAGTTATACAAGTAATTCATAGTGGGGTAAATTGACATTCAAGTGTTGAGTTATTAGAATGGGAAAGTTTGAAGCCCTGTTGATATAATAATTTCTTATACTTGTGACATCATTGACCAATCCAAATAGAATATTTATTCACCATTTGTTTTTTTATTAACTTTTATTCCCCTTACTTGCAGCTTGTGGTACTAATTGTCACAAGAAATGTCAAAAGTTGATAGCAAACTTGTGCGGTGTCAATCAGAAGATGTTGGCTGAGGCCCTGAAGCAGGTGAAGCCAGGAGCCTCCACTAAATCAGTCAGCAGCTCCGCACAGGACCAGGTACGACAGCTGACCTAGTTGATCAGTACACACATGCAAAGCATGCATATACTTCCTTGTATAATATTTACATTTACCAGTTTAATTAAGTATGGGCTCTTAAATATAGCTCTAAAACACAAGGCAATATTGCTTGATATTCTGCAATCAGTATGAAGGAAAATAACAGGGCAATCCCCAATTTATCCATATTAACTGTGCTAGCAGACAAAAGNTGACCTAGTTGATCAGTACACACATGCAAAGCATGCATATACTTCCTTGTATAATATTTACATTTACCAGTTTAATTAAGTATGGGCTCTTAAATATAGCTCTAAAACACAAGGCAATATTGCTTGATATTCTGCAATCAGTATGAAGGAAAATAACAGGGCAATCCCCAATTTACTGTGCTAGCAGACAAAAGAAAGTATCAAACCTCTAATCCAACCCTCAATCTTTTCAATGGGGAAAATGTGATTTTTCATATATAATTTTTAATTGTAATTTTACTTTGTTAGATAAAAAAATGTCTGTTGAGTGTTAGCAACTGAATCGAAAAGTAATCTACCTACTTATAGTTTTATTCTGCACATTAAAAACTCAGTAATTGCTATGTAGGAATATATTTTAATCATTCTCAATTTGTATATCTGAAAGATTGTTAATTTTCCCCATGGAAATATCTGGTCACTTCTGTTATTGACCTATATTTGCCATTGATGTGCATTAAATACCCTAATTTAAGACCATGCATGCACAGTGCACAGATGGAAGTATTCCAGATTTATTAGGAAAGAAAGATATTTGGGTGATATATTTCTGCCTCCTGATCTTTTGTATAGAGTTGCATGCCTTCAGTACTTGCATTTTCTGGAATTTTTTTAAATGTCCACTTTCATTTCTATATATGTTTAGACTTTTCTTTATTCCTAAAGAAAGTGAAAAAATTTGAATAGAACTCTTTGTCCTTCTTCTTTTATTCTGAGATATTCTCTTTTTTTCCCTTGCTTTGATAGTCAACAAAAAATCATAAGACTACCTCAACTACGGTAGGTGAATATGATTATTTTAAAACACATCATATGCCATGGCACACTGCTGACCTTGTGTTGCTTTTTTTTTTTTTTTTTGTAGAGGATGAAAAGTTGAGACATATGATTTTGTTTGTATAATATTTCATATGTATTCAAAAATGGTTAGATGAAGCATTTCATGTTAAGTTTATGAAAGGCCTTTTTGTATCTCATTGGCTTTTGCTGGGCTTATCACTAATTCATTAATACCTTGTCATTGGTAATTAGGTAGGACTGTTTGGTTAAGGAGGAAATATGGAATGACATCACATATTTATTTTTATTATTTTTTAACATTAATTTTTTAAAGATTACTAATTGAAGTAAATATATAGTGGCATTGGAGCTGGGTATGGCTTTAGTTGCATGGTGTACAGAATAAAGTGGAAGTTGTACTGTCTCTTTTTATTAAGTTGTTAAAGTTAATACACATCACAGTTCAGCTTAAGATGTATCTGGATATAAAAAGTCCTTTATTTAGTTAAATTTTTCTTTTATTTGATTGTGAATGTCATATGTCGGTAGCTGTCATGCTAGACATCGAGTATAAAAATGCAGTCCTATATGCTCTAGACAGCAATGCTCTGTCTAAAATATGATCCCAGAGATCAACAGAGAGCACAGTGGGCCGGCTGACTGAGAATGTTTAAGTGCATTCCTAACTCAATTTTTATTAAGGATATCATATTCATAAAATGGTTTTAGTTGGGCCATTCTTGTTTAGGGTCTACATGGCGTGTCTCCACTCCACTTGGACCGGCCTATCTCAGTATGCCATCTGGCCTTGGTTAGCTCACCATATGCACCAAATCCAATTAAATTTCCTTTATATGAGTTAATTGTAATTAGATGACCTTCTTGGATGGGTCGCACTGAGCTTGGTGGACTCAACTTCAATGGGAACACAACATCACAGTGGCAAAGGTGATATGGTACTTGTGGACAATGATAACCAAAGTGGTCAGTTGGACATGACCACTGGAGAACCTGTCCACTTGTATGACAACAGCCTTACTAATTGGACTTGCTCCTTTTTCATTGGTTTACATCAAATTAGAGTATATGTATACTGAAGTACTGTTATTTAACTTTAATATTTTTCATAGTTAATAAGATAATATTCATAATTTAAACTTTAATATCACTAATTGATTGGAGCAAGACAAACGGGAAAATGTTTATTTCAAATTGTTAAAAAATGCTTATTATTTTATAAATATACAGAGTCTTAGCAATTGAAATTGATGGCGCCATATGCACGAAGGAAATGTCTCTGTCCTTGTGTATCTTAGTCTCTGTTTTCACAAAATATTCCATGTCTTCTGTTATGTGTAATGTGTTTCTTCTGTTATGTGTAATGTGTTGTTACCCCAGTCAGTTAGCAGCAAGGACATCCACTACACTCCATATCACACATCACTGCATGAACTGTATTGTAATGCACAGCTTGGTCTTTATTTTTCTCTGGCACAGAAATCTTCCGAAGATTCCGATGATGATAATTATGCTTATGAATCTATCTGGGAACCGCCACCTGGTGTGCAGGGAGAGGATGGCCTTCCTCCTCCGCGGCCACCACCACCATCAAAGCCAGAGAAGAAGTTTTCACCCACAGACTTTGTGTTCCTTAAAGTGCTGGGCAAGGGGAGCTTTGGCAAGGTAAGCATGGACTCTGCCCACTGCTGGGTTTTGCAGTGGGAGGGGTGGGGAGAAATAGCTGTGAGGAACATGCATGCATTCAAAATAAATTTGAAGGAGGGAGTTGGATCAGGAGACCCCTGACCCTCCCCCCACCCCCAACTCAACCCCCTTTTGTCATTGAAGTCACTGCACAGAGGTGCCATCACACCCCCAGTATTCCAATCTCTTGCTTGCTATTTATAAACAAGATTGTTTTTACCATTTGGGTTCATTTCTGTCATAAATTGTTGAAAAACTTCATTTAAAAATCTTTTGTTCCAAAAAATAAAAAGAAAATCATGAAAAATAAAGAAANCCCCCCCCCCCACCCGACCCCCCCCCCACTCCACCCCCTTTGTCATTAATTTGAAGTAACTGCACAGAGATGCCATCACATCCCCAGTATTTCAATCTCTTGCTTGCTATTTATAAACAAGATTGTTGTTACCATTTGGGTTCATTTCTGTCATAAATTGTTGAAAAACTTCATTTAAAAATCTTTTGTTCCAAAAAATAAAAAGAAAATCATGAAAAATAAAGAAAGACGGTTAGAATAAGGTTTAATTGAAGAATGACAGGAAGCCAGTCACAGGTTTCATTAAAAGTAACTTGTTCTGACTTGCATAAAGATAGCCTCCATATCTGTCTTATTTTTCAGTTTTTCACAAAATGAATTTCATTTTCATCTGAGTATGAAATGAAGTATAACTGTCTCTGTAGGTGATGTTAGCTGAGTTGAAGGGGACAAAACAGTATTATGCTGTCAAGGCACTGAAGAAGGACGTTGTATTGATGGATGATGACGTGGAGTGTACAATGATTGAACGGCGCGTCCTGGCAGCTGGGAGCCAGCACCCCTTCCTCACACACTTACACAGTACATTCCAGTCAAAGGTAGGTGATACAGGTGTAAAAAAAGTAAATTGTTTGAAAAATATAGCATTTCTTCATGTGTAAGGCATGTTTATCAACTTTTACTGTTTCAGCTTTTTACTAAATCTTATTTTCCATATATACACAAGATTTAATGGACATTTTTTTTCATTGACATTTATACAAAGTAAGGTAGATGCAGAGATATATGTCAATCTTTGATTAATCTGTATGTACAACTCAATATAACACAGGGTTCTTTTAAATTTTTTATTAGATTGCTCATTATTATGTGAATATAAGTATAATGTTGCTTTGCAATGAATTATTATGCTGTTGGACAAAGCTTTAACCAGGTATACATGCAACACTCTCTAGTCAAGTTTGCTGTATATTTGAATAATTTATTGCATATAAATTGCATGAAAAGAGGCATTATACTGTTAGAATCAAAAATAAGTTAGAATTGCTGGTATTTAATGTGATCTTTTGAATTTCAGAGTCACTTATTCTTTGTAATGGAGTTTCTAAATGGAGGAGATCTGATGTTTCACATCCAGGCCGCTGGGAGATTTGACACAGAAAGAGCCAGGTAAAAAAAAAAAAAAAATTAAAAAAAAAAAGTGAAGTGAGGGTGTGGAGGCACGCAGCCACTGATTGCCAGGAGTAAAGTAGCACAATGATAATATGATACAATGTACTAGTACATGTATAGGTCACACACAAAGACCTAACTACATGTACCTGTGAAATATAGGCCCTGCTTGAAGAAGTCTTTACATCCCCACCCCCCACTCTGGTGTACATGTATAGTGCAGCCCTACATGTATCCTGCAACAAATATTCTGTCATTATTGATGGCACACTTTCAGTAATGGATTCTTAGTATTGAACACTGTCTTGGTCCTCTTCAGGTTTTATGCTGCAGAAATTCTGTGTGGTCTCCAGTTCATCCACAGATGTGGTACAGTGTACAGAGATCTCAAGCTGGACAATGTCCTACTGGACAAAGATGGACATGTGAAGATTGCTGACTTTGGCATGTGCAAGGAAAATATCTCTCCAGACAATAAGGCATCCACTTTCTGTGGCACTCCAGACTACATTGCTCCCGAGGTATTTCTATTGATAGAGTGTAGAGTTTCAGCTTCCTTTATGGACAGGAAGACCTCTCCACATGTACATTGTAGAGAGAGATTCCTGTCTCTGCCCACACTTCATAGACAATATTATATAGTAAATAAAGGTGTTACTAGAAGTTTGAAAAAAGAAGTGTATAGAAGTAAATGACAAAGAAAATATTTCTTCTAATTTTTCCACTGATAAGTGTAATGTTCATTAGGCAATGACAACTTATTTATAAAGGAATTTATTTTAGTTGATTTTGTGTTCTAAAAATCACCAGGAATGCACTGAGAATAGTTTACAAAAACAGTTTGGATGACTCATAATTGAACTCCATGGCTCTTCATAATTGTATGTCTTTAAAATTTTGAATTGTTGTCTATTTCAGATTCTGAAAGGACATAGGTACAATTACTCTGTGGATTGGTGGTCATTTGGTGTCCTGCTGTACGAGATGATGATTGGTCAGTCTCCTTTTCATGGAGATGATGAGGATGATCTGTTCCATTCCATTTGTCATGACACCCCACATTATCCACGCTGGCTGAACAAGGATGCTGCTTCATGTCTAAGCCTGGTATGTGGTTTGTCATGATCCATGGTACTGAACATAATGATAAAAAAATTCCTTCTTATAATATACATGTACCAAGTGAACCACTGTCTTTTTACATTATAGTTATTTATTTAAATAACAAGAATACACTTAGAGGTTCTGACTAGATGTAAAACATACCATCATCACATTTCATTTCTGAAATAACTTGAATTATAAAGGGACAATTAAGTAAAATACATGTAGTCTTTAGGCTCATAAGTGCAAGGTTTCAATTTATTTTTCTCATGCAAAGTGACTTTAAAAATTTCACAATAAGTTAACAATCAGAAATTAGTGCGAGGTTGTACTTAACAGTTAAATGGATAATTAAATTGTTACAGAACTGTTTTACAAAATTTGATCAATTATTTATTTCAGCTGTTTGAACGAGCACCACAAGAAAGGCTTGGTATGCCTGCCTGCCCCAGAGGAGCAATCAGGGACCAGCCGTTCTTTAAAGTGATAGACTTTGACAAGCTGGAGAGACGACAGATAGACCCTCCTTTCAAACCTAAAGTGGTAAACAGACTTTCTTTTTTTAGACTCCACAATAATTAGTACCACCAGCGTGTACGCTGGCGGTACTCAGGGTTTTAGTCCCGACCCGTCTCGTACAGCTCTGCCGGCTCCTGCGGCTCTGCCGGCTCATGCGGTGGAGATTTCAAATATGCCCTTGGATTTGACCTTTGACCTTTATTTGAAGGTCAAATGGGCCAAAATTTTCTAAAAATGGGAATCTTTTGTAAAAAAATTATTATTTTATGCCGAGTTTCAGAAACTTCACAGATCTTACTTATAATATTATGGACAGGTGTTACCCTAAGGGTCTTCTTTTATCTTCGTGAGTTTGGGGTCAATCGGTGCATTTTCACGGGAGCACCGGCCATTAAATGCCAAAACTGAAAACTCCAATTCTGGAACTGTTAATGCTAGAGACCTCTTGTTTTTTGCATTTTGTAGAGCTTGTCAAACGCAACACTGAAGGTGTTTTCAATACTGCTTAGGCATTGCACTTTATCGAAAAGTTCAACATCCAATATTTAGTGGTGAAAATAAAATGTGAAATACTACAAAATTAGTAGAGATATGCCCATAGTTACTGTTGAACTTGAATAGGAAGTCATATACTTGTAATCTAACTGTGACCTTGAAATTGACCTTTTACCTACTTTTCAAGATGAACTGCACTTTGCAAGTTTTCTGATTTTTATATCTCCAAAACTGGCAAAGATATGCCGATAGTTACTGTTGAACTGGAATAGGAAGTCATATACTGGCAATCTTACTGTGATCCTGAAATTGACCTCTGACCTACTTTTCACCATGAACTGAACTTTGCAAATTTTCCAGCCCTAATATCTCTTAAACTGGCAAAGATATGCCCATAGCTACTGTTGAACTTGAGTAGGAAGTCATATACTGGCAATCTTACTGTGACCTTTAAATTGACCACTGACCTACTTTTCACCATGAACTGAACTTTGCAAATTTTTCTCCCTTATATCTCAAAAACTGACAGAGATACATCATTAGTTACTATTGAACTTCAATAGGAAGTCATATACTGGCAATCTAACTGTGACCTTCAATTTGACCTTTGACCTACTTTTTATAATGAACTGTACTTTGCATGTTTTCTGGCCTTTATATCTGGCAAAGAAATGCCCATAGTTACTTTTTAACTTGAATAGGAAGTCATAAACTATGACCTTGAAATTGACCTTTGACCTACTGTTCACCTTGAACTGAACTTTCATATTTTCTTGCCCTTCATATCTTCAAAACTAGCAGAGATATGCCCAGTGTTGCCCATATGTTTCCTCTTTTGTCAGCATATATGCAACACTGATAACACATTTCAAGGAAAACCAGTAGGCCTATTGTCTAGAAAATCACAGGAGTGATCAATGTTAGGAAAATACAGGTAAATTGGAAAAACCACTTGATGGGACCATTTTTACAGTTTTTTTTTTTTTTTGCATATTTTGAGAACTCTTGTTTATTGCATTTCATAGAGCACAAGACTGGTGGTGGTGATGTCTCTTTTTTTTTGGCTTTCCATCCGAATGTGCTTACTCCAGCTGGTGGTACAATATCCGGAGGCGGTATCGCCTCTCTGATCCTCTAGTTATTGTAATGTTTCATGAACTGAGAAATATGTTTTGTAGCAGTAATATATACAACAAGATCACAATACAGGTTGTTTGGCACTGTACATGTACTAGCTTGTATGCTAGCTTCTGTGGGTCATATCTTGCTAGTGTGAATTTAAATTTTACAAAGACAACTATTTTTCATATGTTATTGAGAAAGTTACTTTCTCTGCAATGTACTCCATGCAATGTACTGCAGGCTGTTTTTATAAAACGTAACTGAAAGATTGTGTGTGGTTGTTTGACCTTTGTTTTCTAGGAAAATATGGAGAGCAACAACTGCTACTATGCCATTGTTCAGTATGCCATCTTTTTGTTTTATTTTTTCAGAAATCTGCTTCAGACGTAGGAAATTTTGATACAGATTTTACCATGGAAAGGGCATATTTCACGCCACCTGACAAAGAACTGCTTAAGACCATGAATCAAGAGGTCTTCAAGGGATTCAGTTTCACAAACCCTCTTCTGGCGTCTTGAAGAAAGTGTCACTTTTAGGAACTGTGTTATAAACTGTTATAGTTAAACTGGTATTTATTAATGTAGTTCTGATAGAACTATGGCTGTATTTCTTGAATTTGAAATTGATGAGGAGCAGAGGAAGCAGTTTGATGATTAATTTAAGCTAATAAGAAGTATCTTGCCCCATGGAAACTCATACCTGTAGCATGTAGATTTTTACAAACTTTTCTTGTGTAGTGTTTATTGTGTCTTGTATGTGTTATAATAACTTTGTAATCTAAGATTATATTTTGAGAAGATTATCTTGACATCAAGTTATTGATAAAAAAAGTGGTGGCTTGACCAGAAAGTTAGTTTAATAAATTATGAAAACAGGTATTTAAGCAGCATCAGAGTGGGCATGTCTCTTTTCATCCTTGGACTCGAACATTTTTGACCCAGGATGAGCAGTAAATAATATATTGCATGTCTCTGTAGGGAATATGAAAATAATGGAAAAATACACAGGTGAATTGTGTAAAAAATAAGATTTATTGTTTTCTGCTTGTCTCAGATAAAATGCCCAGCCTGGTCAAAACTATAGTCTAGTCGCCACTCCCATAGGCCCAATAGTCGAACCCTGCAATGTTCTTTCCTGTAAACTTTTTTTGCTGAAACGCATTCTTTTGGTAGAGAGAAGCAAAATTAGCTTAGTTGCTACTTCCGAGACATTGAGCATTTTTCAATATGGCCGTCAATTTATGAGGAAAAATAGAAAAACGACCAGAAATCGCCAGGTATACTTTATTAAAGGCTTCTTTGAACGTTAATCCTATCAGAGGAGCACAGCAGGAATGTTAGATACACTTAAGCTCGTAACTTTTAGCAAAACATCAAAATGGCCGTCAAAACATATGGCATAACATAAAAAAAGATGCAAATATTGTCCGTTTTTCTTCATATTTAGTCTTGTAAAAACTATTTTCGCCACTTATATTTATTTTTATGATCATATTTCGTTAGCCGTAAACTTAAGCTCTCAGAATAAACTTTTTTTGTCATTCCACAAATGGATGGGTAAGGGTATCAGCCCCCAAGAGTCTGTTGCCACTCCCACGGGCTCCATATTCGAATCCTTCTATGCTATTCCCTGCTTTCTTTTTTTTTTTTTTTTTTTTTTGAAGAACTAAACTCTTTGAGGCTACATAAGCCAGTTTAGTTAGGTTTTCTTCCANTTTTTTGGGAAAAGGTCCACTTTTTCAAAAAAAGAACCCCCCCTTTAAAATTGCTGGCTACGGGCCTGGGACAGGTGTCACCCTCTCCAGTTATATGTTGAAGGCAATGGCGGATGGCGCCGAGACAATACGCATCCTTAGTGATGACACAGATGTCTTTGTCCTCTTGGTCTATTGGACATCAAAGATGAAGATAGATGCTACGATTCAAATGGAAAAGTAAAGTTGTGATGTCCTTGACATAAATGCTACTGTAGAGCAGTTAGGGCCAAGGAAATGCAGCCAGTTACAAGGTGTCCACGCACTGTCGGGCTGTGATACAGTATCGTACCCCTTTGGAAAAGGAAAGCAGTCGGCTCTGAAGCTGCTAGAGATAGATATACCAGGACTGGATCAAGTACTCGGAGAGCCTGGTGTAACCCACGCTGAGCTTAAGATGGCAGCCGATGCTTTCCTTTTACCCCTATACGGACAGGCGGAATGTACAACATTAAATGAGGCCTGTGCTCGCTTCTTTCGCTGTCGAAAGAAACCTCCGCTTCTTAGGAAACTGTCACCGACTGATGAAAACTTGCAGCTGCGTGTGCTTCGAGTTCATCTACAGATGTCACTGTGGAAGGCTGCAGACAAACGTGACCCGTCTGAAGAAACTCGAGACATTTCAAACTTTGGTTGGACCATTGATGGATCAACCATCGTCCCAACCATTTCATCGGCACCAGTGGCTCCTCAAGTGCTGCTCGATGTGGTCAGCTGCAGCTGTGCTGTAGTAGGCGCCAAGGCTTGCAGTGGTGCACGATGCAGTTGCAATAACTCAGGTCTCTCATGCACAGACTACTGCAAGTGCGAGGGAGGAATTTCATGTTGTGGGCAAGTGCAAGAACGGTTAGATGAAGAATATGACGAAGTCTAAAATAAGCTTATGGCCAAGACTTGTCAAGAAGTTGATGTAGTATTAAGGAAATCGATTTGTTTAATTGCCACGTTATGACTGAGATATCCGCATTTAATATTTTCTTTAATCATAGAGTAGTATTGACGGACCTATTGCTTTTCGTTGTTGTTTTATTTATCCAAAGAATCTGTTTAATTGTGCATCCTGTCTTTACTGCAGGTATAAATTTTTCTTTGTGTATATTTGTATTTGATTTATTAAACGTCTTTTTCAGTTAAAGGACTTGTGGATGTACAGCTCTTTTAGTTCTTTCCATTACGTTTTGGAGGCCATTTTTGTTTTTTTTTAATTCAAATGACTTGCTGAGATGTAATAAGTGATTGCAATTTATAAGAATGTTTACATAAATATCCAATGATGAACCATGGTGTGAAGAATATACATATTGATACGAACATAATGCTCTTGCTATTCATATAACAAATTGACGGCCATCTTGTTCTGTGAAAACTGATCAATGTCCTAAACGTATCAACTGGCAAAGAAACCCAAGTTTAGTTGTATTTTCTCAGTTTTCAAGCTCAGGTGATATAATTTCTTTTTAAAAGTTTGCAAGATATGACAATCTTCGACTGTGGAGTTCGTTGGAGTGCAAATGAAATTCCGGGAGCTGATACCGTCAGCCACTATTTGTAAAACGTCAAAAAAGGCCTTTTTCTCAGAGTTTGGGACCATGGCTAACAAAATATCATAATGAAAATAAATATAAGTGGCGAAAATAGTTTTTACAAGACTAAATATGCAGAAAAATGGACATTTTTTGCATATTTTTTACATTCTGCCCTATGTTTTGACGGCCATTTTGATTTTTTGCTAAAAAATACGCGCTTAAGTGTATCCACCAGTCCTGCTGTGCTCTTCTAATAGGATTAACATTCAAAGAAGCCCTTAATAAAGTATACCTGGCGACTTCTGGTAGGTTTTTCTATTTTTCCTCATAAATTGACGGCCATATTGAAAAATGCTCAATGTCTCGGAAGTAGCAACCAAGCTAATATTGCTTCTCTCGGCCTGAAGAAAGCATTTCAGCAAAAAAAGTTTACAGGAAAAAAAATTGCAGGGTTAGCGTTCTGGCTACTCGACTACTACACTGTACAGTGAATATAAAATTAGCACTGGCACTGTATTGGTAAAAAGTTTTGACAGAAGTATAAACAGAAAGGACTTTTGTCATCAGAATGGGCATGAATCAGCCGTTCTTTTTAGATAGAGTGCATCATAAAGTTTGTAGTATTTATTATGAGATGCAGTTGAAGTGAATGGTGCAGGTGATCAGCATATACATTTTTCAGGTCTTCAGTGTATGAAGAGTGATGTGAATGCCATCATTGCCATGGGATCTGTTACTGTAGCACACAAGTAAAAACCAAGTTATAAAGACTTACTAATTTTACAACAGTTGCACCTATATTTATTAGCACAAACATTAAACTGACTATTAAGATAATTATAATATAGCTGATATTAAGATGAATAAGTGTTGAGAAATGTTTTATTGACTGTTTACAATATTACTTACTGACAAGAAAATTGTATCATTTTTGATAGGGATATCTGTCAAGATAAACTGTATATTGTAATAATGTTAATTGTGTTTTACTATGTAATTATACTAGTACATTATATTGTTGAAATATATTTTATAATGATGTTTGAAATAGATATAACCATGAGATCGGTATTACAGAATATTGTGTTGGTGCGATGGATATGTGCAGCCAGCTTCATGCAGTGTGCTTTATAAGTGAATATTTTGGGTGCCTACTCGTACCAAAGTCACATTCAAGTGGTGAAAACTATCAGATTTTATGAAAGAAAATGTGCAAGCATTATTATTGAAGTCAAAGCATGCAATGGTGTGACATTGAAATAATAGGTGATGAGTGGCACTGTCAAGACTATTTAAAGTGAATGGTGACCATATGCACACATACTTATGTGCAGGGCCGCTAATGTTTCTTAGATTCCATATGTGTTAATTGTTTGTCATATTTTTACAGTAGAACTGTACCTATATATGTAAAAGAAAAGTCGCAAGTCAGAATTGCACTGAATATCTGTAGAACTGTATATATAGACTTACATGTAGATGTTTTACTATTCCAAACAATTGGCTTATTTTTTATCAACAAAAACCTACCAGTAGCAATTGCACTGGCATATATTTAGGATAAACTACTGAAAATGTAGCCTCTAACATGAAGATGCTGACATAAGAGGGAAAACCTACAAAATAAATGCAGGTTGTACTGGTATTTGAATAACTTTTTCACAAGAGCACAATCAGTATATTACTGGAAGAAAAAAAAACTTCAGAGTTGTGATATGGAAATTGAGTGTTGAATGATATATACTTTGTTAATGTAAAATAGGAATGTTTTTTATAATGTGTAATAACCTGAATTTGTAATTTAATTTACCAAAGGAAAGGACATTAATGCCAGTAGTAAACTAAGCTCGCCTAGATTGTAAAAAGGTTCAATGTATTTCACCAGTTGAACTGCAAATAATAACTCTGCTCTTGTTGTATGTCATCTGCAGACACAATTTAGACCCAGGATGTTTTTGTTTAAACTGGCAATAACGCACTTGTATTCATAAGGTCCTTTCCATGAATGTGTCTCGTCTGTTTAATTGTTTTCTTATATTTACATATTTACAGATTATTTGAAAGAGAGCCCTCCCTAGTAGTAAACACAGCTTCATAAATTACACTTCAAACCACTCTAAATCAATAATTTATATTATTGAGGAAAGTTAACATGTTGCTTATTTTTGTGTTACAAGGAATACTGGTATAAATAGTAACTAATTGATGTGAACTTAAAATAAAAACTAAAAATAAAAATATTGAAATTTTATCTTTACCGGTGTTTTATTTCTCATTTTTCATGACCAAGAATTTTATAGAATAGCTAACGAATATACCACGCGGAAAAAACGTCCACTCAATTACAGTTTGGCAAAACTTCATTTAATAATACTACGAGAAACATAAGACAGGCATTTTGAACATAATTCGGTTGTTTTGTACTTTGAAATCAGGAGGGTTATGAGAAATGTGTTGTTCGGAAAAAAATTATAATTGCAATATTGATGTCATTTACACCTTCCAAAGTTGTACCCACTTGGAGTTCTCTTCTTCATTTATTCATTCATTCCATGACTTCAGAACTGAAGCGCAAGGTCTTTTAATCACTCTATTTTTCTCTTATTTCCGCTAAGATTTCTCGTCCCCATCTTTCTCTCTGAATAGTATACCTTCATACATAAGAACTCCCGTTTTTTCGTACCCAGTACGTGCGCTGGCGCCTGTAATTTGACGTTCAGTAGTGTGCGAGGTGTGTTGCGGCGATTTTTTGCCCAATTTATGTACGTATACGTATATTTTACACAATCGAACATCGTATGCTAGTAGAACTTTTACTGTCAGCGTATTCGCTTACGAGATATCTGACTGTGTTAATAATGTGCACAATAATGACATGGAAGGCAGTGCATGTACATATGAAACTCTGGGAGCACTTACGCCTAGATTACATTTGAAATGCGGTGCCCGTACGGTGCACGTATACTGCCCGTTATACCCTTTTCGTACGGCGTCTGAACGGAGGTAGACGGTGGCCGTGCGAAATCGCACGGAATCTTACGGATTTAAGGCCGTGTAATGTAGGCATACTCGGCGTAGCCCGTAGTTCATTACGATTAATAAAACCGTATGATAAATTTCATCGCACGGCGTCCGTGTAAATGTAATCTATAGGCTTAAAATACACCTTCCAAGAATGTTAAAACTGGTATTGTTTAATCAAAAGCTGTAAATATTGACACGTTCCTGAATACTCGTAGACAAAGAGTTGGTGGAAGATTTTCCAATGTGTTGGTGAAAGAAGAAACAACAGTCACAGTACATGTACTAACACGTTCATATGGTGAAATCACAGATAAACGACCTATCTCACATCACAGTCCCTTTAAAAATTATACCCAAATATTGAAATAACTTGCTTAGCATGATGTGCACCGTATAAATAAGAGTAAATCAGTTATACTCTAAGGGGAATATGTCTGTGAAGGGTACTTCAATTTGACAACCACACTCCTCGTAGATGTCATCTCATGAATATTTCATTGCGTGCTTTTTAGAATTGAAAACATCCTTTTGTTGTAGTAAATTATTGTATCGATCTTCACATGCTTTCACTTTCTCAATAAAGTAATCACTTCTCTGTATACTCTCCAAAAGATCTGCTTGCACAAGGCAGGTGTCTTGGAAACGTGACGCATGTTCCTTTGAGAGACTTCGGAAACTTCCGTCAGCAACCGAAAACAATCGAACATTCGCTACGCTGTCATCTTCTGTGACTCGGATGTTGTCGTCAAATAGAATGTGTTGCACAGACGTATCGTGGAGATTTATCCACAGAGGTTTTCCTTTGCTGTAATGATACCCATGGTTTTGCCAGTTGGCGAAATCGTCCACAAATGCGCGAATTCCACCACCTTCGCTAAGTATTGAATAGATTTGATCCTCAGACGATAGAGTCACATCACATTCATTTCTTTGGCCTTTTAGCTCGAAGTTTTCACCATTTCGTAGTATAGCACCTGGTTTCGTATGCACCTTTAGCGGCAGTGGATGTGGGAAATCAGGGTGTAAACCGCCAGTGAAAAGTTTAATGCACTCCAAAACGTTTGCTGCATCCATGCCATAGGTTCGGAGGACCACGCAAAAATCTCTTCCTTGTGAGTAAAGAGTAGACAAGAGATTGAAGAAAGACGGGAGAAGATAGTGGTATCTCCTACCGTTCGTCCCATGCATGTAGAACGCAGCTTTGACGTTACTGTGTTTTCCATGCGTCCACTCCAAGAGACGGAGGTGCTTGTCGAAAAAAGTAGAAAATCGCCGACCTAGTTCAACTTGAGTGAAGTCACCTGTAGCTTGTCGCAGGAGAAGACGATCATATGGCACTTTAACGAGCTCCTTCTCTAGATATTTGTAGTACGTGACACAGTCCTCATTAGGGGGGTCCAGGGAAGGGGTGTCACTGACCCACGTCCACTCCCCTGTTTTGTCGTCTTCCTTCCCCCATGTGACGCCAGTTAGATAGGAATTCAAACCCTGTTCTACATTGATGTTTGTGACGGAGTCCGCGACGAGAATAGTGTTCCGTAAATCGAAATGGAGCACCAGTTTCCTACTGTTATGTGCAGACATGAATTGCATTTAATTCAGAGGTAAACTAAGCGTGATACGACAGCGCATTCCCTTTCATAAAGCTTTCGTTTTCCTTTAACATGCTTGGCTACATGATTGAAACTCACTGTTGAGAACCCCAGAATCCCGATTTTACTGTTTCTTCCCTTGTTTCCTTTGCCCAGGCTTCTCAGGAACACAGGTCCACGTTAACAAACCGTGGCGCGTGGAGTGAATGTTCTACGTGCATATTGACCCACACGGAGGGGTTATTGATTTAAAGTTAGTTTACGGCTTATAGCCAAGGTCACTATTTGTCACACAAATATTACATTCCAAAGTGGAAGTGTGTCTCTCGCCGAGATGAGTGGGCTCTGAATTCCAGGGAATCTGCTCTGAGCATCCATCAGCAACACTTCATCAGCAACACTTCATAATATAGTTTTACTAGGCTAGCAACCCATGATTGAAAATTTTTGATTGATTGGCGAGGACTAGCTTTCCTGCGAATGATTCCCTTGCGCGTGCGTCATTCGACTTATACCTGTACAAAGGTTTATACTGAGGGGGTTAATATGTTTTTCTAAGAGATCCTTGTATATGAGGGATCAATATGATCGAGCGAAATGTTTTGTGTTCTGGAAAGCATTTAATTCCTCGAGATTTAATATTTTACATCTTAATTAAAACTGTAATACCAACTGTAGTATTATGCTTATTTTCAGATTAGAATTTACAAGTGAACTGAAGAAATCCCATAGCCGGGTATCAAAAAGCGTGAAAAGTGACGAAGCAAACTACTCGCTACAGTGTTACAGTGTGTGTGTGTGTGTGTGTGTGTGTGTGTGTGTGTGTGTGTTGTTTGTGTGGTGGGGCTGGGGGGGGGGCTCTCATGGCGTCAACCTTATCAATAAAATACCATCCTTTCTAGGGCTGAAGTTCACCACACTTCGGTTTACTTTAACCTTAAGAATATGTTTGTTGTATTATGTACCTGCATGCACATGTATCGCCAATACCACCTTGTGCACCTGTTTAACTTTTGTAATTAAAGCGTTACGTTTACTTAGAAGAGGAATATTCAATTACCGCAACATCGCAAAAATTCTATAGAACAATGAAAAACTTGAAATAACTATAGAATGTGCATAACTCGGCATCAAATTCCAGTAGAATGGATCATTCAAAAGCTCTCTCGAAGACCTGAAAGGTAAACCTATGAAAACACCGTTTGGTATAAAGCAGTCCCCTAACTCCACAACAAATAGAGTGACATACTTACATGGGTATCAGGACAATTCCCCTCCCCCGGACAATTCCCCCCGGACTATTCCCCCCAGACAATCCCCCCCGGACATTCCCCCCAGGACAATTTCCCCCCGGACGATTCCCCCCGAAGAATATATATATATTC